TTTAAAGCAGATAACCTGGGGTTCCAATTGCTCTCGCTTTCCCCTCTTCAGGAATTCATCCAGTTAGAAGGGATCCCAAGGGCCAGCCATTCTCTATTCCTGCTTTAAGGAATACCCAATCCAAATACTCCAGACAGATCATAAAATCATCGAGTTGGAAGAGACCTTGTGGGCCATCCTGTCCAACCCTCTGCCAAAAAGCAGGAAAATTGCATTCAAAGCACTCCAGATAGATGGCCATCCAGCCTCTGCTTAAAAGCCTCCAAACAAGGAGCATCCACCACACTCCAGAGTAGAGAGTCCCACTACTGAACAGCTCTCACAGTTTGGAAATTTTTCCTGATATTCAGGTGGTTTCCTTTAGTTAGAAGACATTGTTCCATGTCCTCGTCTCCGGGGCAGCAGAAAACAAGCTTGCTCCTTCCTCCCTATGGCTTCCCCTCACATATTTATACATGGCCCTCATCATGTCTCCCCTCAGCCTTCTCTTCTGCAGGCTAAACATACCCAGCTCTTTAAGCCACTCCTCATAGGGCTTGTTCTCCAGACCCATAATCATTTCCATCGCCCTCCTCTGGACACATTCCAGCTTGCTCAGAATTGGAAACAGTGTGATTCCAGGTGTGGTCTGACCAAGGCAGAATATAATAGAAGGGGTAGCATGACTTCTCTGGATCTAGAAGACCATTCGGTTCCTGTTTCACACCCTCCACCACACTCTGAGGCAAGGGTCATCAAACTAAGGCCCGAGGGCTGGATGCGGCCCTCCAAGGTCATTTACCCAACCCTCACTCAGGGTCAACCTAAGTCTGAAACGACGTGAAAGCACACATAACAACTATCTCATCTGCCAAAAGAAGGTCCATACTTCCCACTGAAATACTAATAAGTTTATATTTGTTAAAATTGTTCATCATTTTAATTATTGCATTGTTTTAAAGTGATGTTTGCACTACAAATAAGATATGTTCAGTGTGCATAGGAATTCATTCATGTTTTTTTTTTCAAATTATAATCTGGCCCTCCAACAGTTTGAGGGACTGTCACCTGGCCCTCTGTTTAAAAAGTTTGAGAACCCCTGCTCTGAGGGATCATATTCCACTGTCAACCAAGAAGTTCTTCCTAATATTTCTTTGTATTGACTCTTGTTTTCTAAAGTTTTAATTTGTATTTATTTTACTCTTGGTAACTGAGGGTGATATATACATTTTAGGACTTAAAAGTACCAACTCCCATCTGATTTTGGAAGCTAAGCATAGTCAGCCATAGTTAGTACTTGGATAACAGAAAATGTCCAGCAAAAAAAAGCCATCAGGAGCATTTCATCGTAAAAGAAAGTTGCAGCATTCCAAAGAAGATGAGAATCAAGCTAAAACATTGCAAAGGTTTTTAATGACTTCTCCATCATGTGCTGCAAGAAACATAGAAACAACTAAATCGACTGTCTATTAGATGTGCAACGCATTCCTTTAAAATCCATGAGAGGCCAGGGCTATGACAATGGTTCTGCAATGAAGGGAAAGCATGTTGGAGTCCAGAGAAGGATCCTTGATTTAAATCCTAGAGCCTTTTATGTACCGTGTGGAAACCACTCGCTCAACTTGGTCGTAAATGATGCAGCTCTGTCTTGCAGTATTGCAGTAGACTGTTTCAGCACTATTCTGTTTCAGTGTCTATTCTCCTGGGGCTGCGTTCTCCAAAACAAATCTGATTGACAGACCCAACAAGCATGGGATTGAGTTCTCTGTTATTAGCAAACCCCTAGTCTGAAAAATCTTCTCTGAAGAGACAGCATGACCAGGAAACCTTTGTGTAGTACTTGTAGACCAAAAATAACAACAAAAACTTAAAATTGTTGCTAAGTTTAGTAAAATATTTGCATTCTTAAAAAAGTTAATTTGTGTAATGTAACTATATAAACATAATGTTGTAAGTAAATTTCTGGTTTGTAAGGTAACTCTTTTATTCACCTCTACCTTCTACGTTTTATTTTTCAGTGATTGGTTGGGGGGAGGGGGCGCCAAAATAATGTTTGCTTACCATTGAAAATTACCTAGGGCCGGCCCTGCATGCAAGGGTCACAAAACATCCTCTCAGCTCAGGCTTGAGATGCACAATCATCTCAAACCTATTGAACATCAAGGAAAAAAAAAGATGGGAAAGCAGAAAGGATGGGGAAAAGATTTCCGTTGTATTAAACTAGTCCACATTTTTGCAGAAAAAATCAAGACTTAGTGTGAGGCAGCTATATTATATTGGGAAAGCTGGCTTCTAGGAAGCTGGCACAATACACCTGAATATTCAGGTTTGACCATTGGTTTTAGTGACATTACAGCAAGGTAGAAAACAGGAAAAGCAACCTGCTCTGTGAATGGACTTAGTGCTAGCTCTGCAGAGGGGGACAAAGGGGCAGACATGCCAAATGGAGGAAACATTCATATTCTGCCAAGATAGGCGCCTCAATCTCTTCAAAGAGAGAATTTGTTTGCAATTTATTAAGCTTAATTCAAATAGCCAAGAAATTCTATTATAATTCAACAAAAACAATCGAGAAACTATTATACACACACACACACACATACTCGACCAAATAATTAAACACAGTTAGCGCTCCAGAAATTGGATTTCTCTTGCATAAATAAACCAATCTACAGCATCAAATGATTTTCTTTCTAAACCCATTCAGCCTCCAAGCTGTTAAATCCCACCCAAATGTGTATTTTGCTTTTGCTTTGTGTGCTTTTTTTCCTACCAGGGCTTTGATTTTGTTTCATAGGAAGGAAGTGATGATAAATAAATCAGAGCACAAAGCTTGCAAGCGCTGGCAGGCACTTCCAAAGCTATTGACCGGAGGAAAAAAAGAGTTTATTAAGCACAAGCCTTCCTCCTTTTACAGTCTGACTCTCTAATCAGGATGTAAAGAAGAGCTAACACAAGGGAGGAAAATACATATTGTGAGCATGACTGAATGCCAGACACAATAGTCTTGTCACGGACTGCTTGCCTACCAGTCTCCCTAACTTCTTTTTTAGAAAACCGAATGAGTCACACTGAAATAGCAGTAACACTAATTGCTAAAGGAAGAAGAGATATTTTGTTTCCACTGGTACAAAATCACATTAATGCTTTTCTAAATATTGTGAAAATAGAATTATAGGAAACATACAAAGAGCTAAAACAAAAAGACACATACCTGGCAATATATGAATCTTAATTAAGGCGTTGAAGGACTAAAGAATGTAAGAGGCTACCTTCAAATTCAAAACAAATTTGGAAATATTAAAATTTGGATTACAATTCCCATAATCTCTCAGCCGTATAAGCAACAAGATTCTATGATTCATGATAAAAAAAATGTAATTCCCACAATCATCCAGCAACTTGGCTCAGAGATTTTAGGAATTGTTTTTTTTTTAAGTTTCCCCAAAAGATGGAGACAATCTCCATCTCAAGTAATCTCAACTTCACTCATTCAGGACTGCAACTAATGCCACAAGGGCTTCACATGCCTAATAATAATAATAATAATAATAATAATAATAATAATAATAACAACAACAACAACAACAACAATAACAACAACAACAACAACAACTTTATTTTTGTACCCCGCCACCATCTCCCCAAAGGGACTCAGGGCGGGTTACAAGGGGACAAGCCCCTCCCCAAAAGGAAAACAAATTAAAATCACAACATCAGAAAAACAATTACAATCACAAGTACAAAATTTTAAGAACAGTATAATGGCTGGAAGATAAGGTGCTGAGTTCAGAGGGATCAGGAAATGCTTAGTGTTGTAACTCTACAGAAATAAATATCTGTGTATCAGAACTGCCCATTCATCCCAAACCCATCTTTCAAGCAAGTTTCCACAAATGTTGCATCTGTAAAGGGTAAAGGTTTCCCTTGACATTAATTCTAGTCATGTCCAACTCTGGGGGGTAGTGCTCATCTCCATTTCTAAGAGCTAGGGTTATTAGTAAACACCTCCTTGATCATGTGGCCAGCATGACTGCATTGAGCACCATTACTTTCCCACAGAAGTAGTACCTATTGATCTATTCACATTTGCATGCTTTTGAACTGCTAGGTTGGCAGAAACTGGCCCTAACAGCGGGAGCTCACCCTGCTCCCTGGCTTGAACCGCTGGCCGTTTGGTCAGCAAGTTCAACAACTCAGTGGTTTAACCTGCTGCATTACCTGAGTCCTATGTAAATATATGTATGCTCTTTTTCCTTCCAGTCAATGTTAGGATCAATTTAAACAGAATGGCCCTCTTCCCACCAATGTCTTACCTATTAATTCCTTAAAATCACTAAGTAGCAGGACTTTTTGCAAAGAGTAAATTAGATTGGGATCTTTTAATGCTTCTACTTACTACTTATCATCTCTCCAGAAGATCCTCACAAAAGTGGGGGGGGGGGGGAATAAATAAAATCCACTTTTTTACCTAAAAGACACTATGCTAGGAATCTCTAGGTCCTCCAGTGCAACTCCCTGGTCAATTTCTGGTAGACATTGACCATAAACTTACACTGGAGGACCTACAAATGTTCTCTCTAGATTTCTAGAGAGAAAAGTGTTTTATCTTTAGAAATCTAGATCCTCCAATGCAATTCTATCTATGCTCAACCCCTAGCAGAGTGATGTTGTAGGACCTAGAGATTCCTAGACAGAACATATTAATACAATCTGTGAGTAATCCACAAAAGTTGTGAAGGACTGAATATATTTTTAATTTAAAAAGGGAAGGGTACTGCAATACACTCAATGTTAGATATTAGAAGCACAATTCGTTAAAGGCATCTCACTAGGAATCACTTTTTAATAAAGTTTTGGGGGGTTTTTTGCCTACTAAGCTTTCTCCTTTTCTCCTTGTTCTCTGCCCACAGAAAGTGCTTTGGCCATTTTGGAATTGGAAGGATGATGAAGGAGGACTGGATAAACACAAGCCTACAAACACCATGTCTGCAGTAAACAATGCAATAAAGCCTGATCAAGGAAAAGTTATAGATTCTGGTGAAGATGATCATTCTGTTGATTAGTCCAACTTCCTACAACAGGCAAGGTAAACAGTAGTTAGCTCTAAAAACTCTTACTCCGTGTTTATTTTTGAACATCAAAACAAAGAGCAAAAGAAAGGTCAGACAGGCCAGTCTCACCAACTATCGCCATCACATCAAAAAGCAAGCATAGATCGATGTGTGGAAATCATAAGAAAAATGGAGCTTGGTAAAAACAAAAATCATTCCAAAAAAGGCTTTCAGATGATCTCTAGAAGGTACACAATATTTCCATTTACTTATAAAAGGTTCCCCTGATCAGGCATGTAGCCAGGGAGGGGGCTTGGGGGACTTCAGCCCCCCCCCCCCCCGAAATTCTGATGGTGGCCCGCGAGAAGGCCTTACTGGTGCATTATTTAAACTGCTATGTTTATTCATATCATGATCTGATCACTATACTCAATATATCCCATATGCATGGGGGTATTGGGGTAATGATACAAAAGGTTTGCTAGGGTAGACCCTCTTTCACTCAGACTCAGCCCCCCCGAACCAAACTCAGCCCCCACAAACCGAACTCAGCCCCTTCCGAAACAAAATCCTGGCTAAGGCCTGCCCCTGATCTAGTTGTTTTCTTTCACAAGTACATATCGTTAGTTCGGGATAAAAAGTCTGTTGAAACATGTTCTATTTTGTGGTGCAGGAGCACATCCTTAATCTTTTCATGTTACTTCTTCAAGTATCAAATACTTTATTAAAGAAATAATATGAAAGAATGCTCAGGAACACACCTATTTTGTTAACTGAGGGATACCTATATAACATTACAATATCAGTACTATATAATAGCAACACTGCTTTAGAAATTAGCATGCTGTTTTGTGGGGACAATGATTTCAAAGGGATTTTTAACCATATCTTTACCTTTTTAGCTGCAAAATGTACAGAAAAACAAGCTGGATTTGTGTCCTCGTTCAAATAAACAATCTGCTCTTAATCACATCTATCATTTAAAACAGACTTGGGAAAGAGAGGCTTCCCCTTTATAATTATGGACCTTGATAATTACCTGGTGGTTAGCAGCAGATCCATTCTCAACGCATCTTCCTGTGTCTCTCCCTTGATAATGTAATCTAATCTCCTGGCTATGCTTTCATCTGGCACCCAACACTACACACTGTTTATAAAACAACAATCTCATCCTGGGTAATGACAGAACAAAGGCAAAGAAAAGCAGCTTTTGTAATAAGACAGCACTTACCACTTCAAAAGTAGCTAAGTTGGTATAATTTACATTGCTGGCTTTTCTTTTCTCTCTCTCTCCCTTTTTAATCGTTTTGAAATTTTTCGTCACTGGAGGACTTGATCTAAACTCAGACTTTCACAATATGGTATTCTATGCACTGCGGTGCAATATATTACTGATGTTAATTATGAAGTTATGAAGAAGAAGCAAGGATGTTTAGAAATAGTTATAGCATAACAATTATTATTTTAAATAATTTACAGTTATCCCAACTGCAGGAAAAAAAGCTTTAGGCTAGTAGTCACATATAAACGGTAAAAGTGACCCCCTTTAAGTATAGTCATGTCCAACTTTGGGGCATGGTGCTCATCTCCATTTCTAAGCCGAAGAGCCGGCATTGTCCAGATACACCTCCTAGGTCATGTGGTCAACATGGAGTTCTGTTACCTTCCCGCAGAAGCAGTGCCTACTGATCTACTGACATTTGCATATTTTCAAACTGATAGGTTTGCAGAAGTTGGGGCTAACAACAGGAGCTCAACCCATCTGTGGATTCAAACCACCAACCTTCTGATCAGCAAGTTCTGCAGCTTAGAGATTTAACCTGCTGTACCACCACAGCCCCTTAAGTCGCATATAGTAAAGTGTGTGTGTGTGTGTGTATAGTATATGTGTGTATGTTTGTCTCTCTGTTTGTACCACAAAGGCTGTTGTTAAGTGAAGTGACCCTCAATGCTGTCACTGGATTGGCTGTTCCTAGGTGAGGTGGCCTTCTGTGATGTCATTGAGAAAAAAAGATGTTTTTGATGTTTATTTTAATTTTAATTTGTCTGTATGGTTTTCCTTTTTGGCAACTGAATGTTTTTCCTTATATATTGGAAACTGCCCTGAGTCTCCTTAGGGAGATAGGGTGGTATATAAATAAAGATAGTTGTTGCTTTTGTTGTTGTTATTCTTATTCTTATTACTAGCTGTACCTACCACACGTCGCTGTGGCTAACCTTCCCTCCCTCTTTCTCTCCTTCTTTCTTTCTCTCCTTCCTTCCTTCTCTTCCTCTTCCTTCCCTTCCCTCCCTTTTCTTTCCCTTTTGCTTTCTCCCCTTTCTCCCTTCTCTACCTATTCTTGGACTACAACTCCCAGCAGTTCTCCTGATTGATCTACCTACCTACCTATCTATCTCTATCTAATCTATCTATCTGGAGGGTTGCTGGGAGGTGCAGTCCAGGAATAGGAAATTGGAAATATACAGGCATTGGGGAGCTCTCAAAGAAATCCAAGGGGAAGAAAGCTTGCATCTTGGAAGAAGCATTTGGATCGTCCTCCTCTCCTAAAGGGCCTGGTCTAGGGGACGCTGGGAGCTGTAGTCCAGAAGATAGTGTGAATATGCTATTGTATGTTTTGTTTGCCAAGGGGAGTCATTTTTGCGCACGTGCTATTACGTCTTTTCACTTTTTTTGGCTTTTATAGTCCCCTCCACTGTGTTTTTCAGTGTTTTTATGCGTGATGGTCACTCATTGGCCTGATAGGTGTCTTGTGTCCAAATTTGGTGTCAATTCGTCCAGTGGTTTTTTGAGTTATGTTAATCCCACAAACAAACATTACATTTTTATTTATATAGATTATCATCATCATGTGTATGAGGGGGAGGGAAGAAGGAAAAGAAAGAACTATGTTGCCATGGAAGCAATGTAAGTTAGACTCTATCAAAGCTGGAGAAGGAAGAAAGTAGGCAGGCAGAGGTCCCAATGCTAGTTATGTACTAAAGCTTTATACGCAACCTACAACACTTGGGGTATTTTGTTTAAAACATTACAATCAACAAAAATACTTTTGAGTCTCTGTTTTACGACTCATGTATAATTGCTAACTCAAATGTTCCCATTTGGCAAATTGCAAAGTTAAATAGAGTTGAAGAGTCCAAGCTGAAAATCTGACCAAGAAGACAGAGAAATAGAAACAAGGGTCCCAAACAAGGGTCCTAGAACCAGACTATCAGAATAAAATGAAACTGAAGATCATCATCAACAATAAAGATCATCATCAAAGACGATATCTGTGTTTCCCACAACTTCAGAAATTCAACACAAAGTGCACAAAGGTTGTACATCTCCACCCAAACAGAATCTGTTGAGTCCATTTGTGTTTACAATTCTGAATCCCTTTTACATTACTCATATTTATTTATTTTTAATGGGAATTTAAATGGTTGTGGGTTGCTGTGAGTTTTTCGGACTGTATGGCCATGTCCCAGAAGCATTCCCTCCTAATGTTTCGTCTGCATCTGTGGCTGGCATCTTTAGAGGTTCTGTGTGGTTGTGCTTTTAAATTTTCCTTCTATATTTTAATAATTGACATTACACTTCTTCTTAGCTATTCGGGATATTTGTAACAGTATACCGTTGGATAGCAAGGGAATGGCAATAGTAAAATATAGCTCTGGGACTGAAAATTGGAATGAAATATGCTACTTAGGAACATTTCTGATTTGCGGGAACAACCCTCCTTTCACTATCCCTGCCACATTTAATTCAATTTCAGTTCTCCACAACTGTAAAATTCTATCCACATTTCTTAAAATATAACTCCAAGACTTCCACCACATAAGCATAAAACCTAAAGGCATCATAATTCACCAGCAAATTCCCTAGCACTAGTGCCTCTAGCCTGCTGTGCTAAGCCCAGCATCTGTGCTAAGCCCGGACCTTTTTTTCTGATTTCTTGATTGTAGTTTCCATTTTAATTAATGGTGGAGCTAATGTTGATGTGTTCATCGCTCACTTTTAAGTTATGTAAAACTTCTGTGGTCATGTTTTAATATCACAATACACAAGAGGATTATTTTGAAAGGCATACTATACTGCACAATATAAAATAGTAATTGTAACATTACTTTTTGCCATGGAGCTACACAGCTTTAGCACAGCTGATAAAATCACCAGCAATAATAAGATCTACCAATCGAAAAGTTGCAAGTTCAAAGCTCTGGGTCGGCATGAGCTGCCAAATGTCAGCTCAGCTTACTGTTGACCTATGCTGCTTGAAAACAGCTTGAGCTGTAATTAGAGAAATTAGGTAACACTAAAACAAGCGGGGAGGTATTTTATGACACCATAAAGAAAAAAAGATCAGAAAATGCTCAGTGATCAAAAGAAAGGAGGAAGTCCTGACAACTCTTCATCACAGGAGATGGCGCAACAGCACCCCCTGTGGCTGGCTTCAAGCACAACCTTCGGAGGCACCAAAAAGCTGGACATCGACATGACATACCTCCTTTTGTTTCTGTCTGTCTCTGTATTGTCTATCCAAAAATGGCACTGAATGTTTGCCGTGTATGTGTACTGTGATCCACCCCGAGTCCGACTGGGGAGATAAGGCGGAATATAAATAAAGTGTTATTATCATTACAGCATTATATAATTCTGATTTAATAAAAGAATTAATAACATTGTAGAATGAATGCAGCTTGACACCACTTTACCTGCATTGCTCAGTGCAATGAATCTTGGAATGTGTAGTTTTCTGTGGCCCCAGAGCCCTCTGATAGAGAAAGATAAATATCTTACAAAACTACAACTCCCATGATTCCATAGCAGTGAGTTATGGCAGTTAAAGTGGTGTCAAAATTCTACAGTGTAAATGCATCCATAGTTTTGCAATGGCAACTAATAGAGAATGCCAGCTTATCCAGGATGTTTATATAAAAATAAATGCTAATGAGCCTTAGGTTGTCTTTGTGTTGACAATTTTAAAATTCACAACTTGTAATTAATTTTGTGCAAAAGATTCCGGAGCAACATAGCAGGCAGAAAGCCTCTCCCTATTCCATAACTTGCCTTTAAAGCAAAATGTAGAAAAGTCCAGGTTAATGCTACAAATATTTTTCTCCAAAATTACCACTAGCAATCTATTTTTTTTAGGGGAGATAAAACAATACTTGGAATTAGCCTCAGGATTTCAATTTGGCTGAAAATAACTCAGATGCCTAACAGTAAGTAGAAGCACTCTTGTCTTATGTTAAATCGCAGCGCTCGCATCTGTTTTAAAATTGCAGCAACTCACAATTCCCTTAAGGCAGTCTTGAAGAAAAAGGAAGGCAGTTCATTCCTCTTTCCCCCTCGCCCCAGTTCCGTAAGGAAGTTGTCATGACAGAGAACAGATGTGAAAAGTTGACTCAATTAAAACGCACGGCTTCCCATGAAATGTTCATCACAGAGAAGACCGTTTACATTGTCTTCTGTCATGAAGATTGGCAGAAGGTTAAAGGAGCCACACCACGTTCTATCAATCGAGCACTTTGCACCAAATATTTTCTGTGTTTTTCTAATGCAAAGAGAAGGCATACACACATTATTCTGCCAAAGACTTTCCCATTGTAATCCATTTCCACCACCAGAGGGAAAAAAATATGATTACTGCATTGATCACTACAGAAGAGAAACAGGCATCAGAGAAAACCAACCCATGCAAACGTGGGAAACAAATTAATTTACTTCAATTAGGAAGGCTTATTTCAACTACTGTGATGGTATGCATTGGCAAATAGAAAACAAAAGATATATGGGTTGTCGAAGACTTTCATGGTCAGAATCACTGAGTTGCTGTGAGTTTTCCAGGCTGTATGGCCATGTTCCAGAAGCATTCTCTCCTGATGTTTCAACCACATCTATGCCAAGCATCCTCAGAGGTGGTGAGGCTTGTTGAAAACAAGCCAAGTGAGGTTTATATATCTGTGGAATGTCCAGGGTGGGAGAAAGAACTCTTATATTATTGGATTTTGTTGTTTGGGCTTGGCCTCATGTAAGCCGCTTCGAGTCCCCACTGGGGAGATGGTGGTGGGGTATAAATAAAGATTATTATTATTATTATTATTATTATTATTATTATTATTGTCTGTTTGAGACAAGTGTGAATTCTGCAATTGTTCACCTTGATTAGCATTGAATAGCCTTGCAGCTTCAAGGCTTGGTTGCTTCGTGCCTAGGTGAATCCTTTGTTGGGAGGTGATTAGCTAGCCCTGATTGTTTCTATGATATATGCCTTGAATATTTTTAACCAGAATAATTTTTGTGAACAAAATGATTATTTTCCTAAATACACTTGCTCTGAAAAATAATTTGCTATTATTTTTGATGTGTGCCTTCAAATAATTTCCGACTTATGACAACCTGTCATGGGTTTTTCTTGGCAAGTTTTGTTAAAAGAGGTTTTTGCCTTTGCCTTCCTCTGAGGCTGGGAAAGTGTGGCTGGCCCAATGATAAAAAGTCATTCAGTTTACAGTGTAAAGTTAAAGTCTAAATACTTTTATTATGAGGGTATGGCATCACAATTTGGTAGAGAAGAATAATTACTGAGACTGGACCTACCCTGCCATATAATGCAGTTTCAGGATGCAGATTAACTGTATTGAACTGGATTATATTAGTTTACACTGCCATATAATCCAGTTAATCTGCATTCTGAAACTGCTTCATATGTCAGTGAGGATCCAGCCTTAGTTCAAAAGATCAACTCATGCTGTCCTTGAGGCTTCCAAATGAAAAACCTTTAGTGTCTCTCATCCCCAAAATAACAAAACTATTTTGGCTACTTTTACAAAAGAGAGAAATGGAGAAAATATAAAAAGTCCCATTAATTCCTGATTTAACCCCTCAGTTTCAGACCTGCTGGGGTAATTGATGATATTTCGTTAGTAACTTCCAAAAGTCTAGTTATGCTTACTAAAACTGGGAAATGAAATTGCCTTTTTTCATTTGATGAGTCTGGCTGACCCACAGGCCCCCTTTGTACCACTATACGCTCATGGTCTGTTTTTACTGTGTCCGCATTTGAACCTTTAAGCCATCATCACCCTGCTGCAAAAGATTAATTCTGATCCTGAAGGTATTCCTCTTGGTTTTCCCCAGAGGAGGGAATTTAAAAGCTACACTATCACCCTTTTGATGTCAAGCTCTGGCAATCTGGTTTCACTCTGTTTCTAATGGTTTCTACAGAGACATGGAGTTTGTCATCTCTGCATAGCCCTGCTTGTCTCAATAGGTCCAGAGAAGGGCGACCGAAATGGTAAAAGGTCTGGAAGCCAAGCCTATGAAGGAGCTGGATATGTTTGGTTGAAGGCTGAGAGTGGACACGACAGCAATGTTTGATATTTGAAAGGATGTCATATTGAGGAGGGGGCAAGCTTGTTTGTGGCTGCTCTAGAGACCAGGTCATGGATTCATGGAAAAGTGATTCTACCTAAACATTAGGAAGAGCATCCCAACATCGGTGGAATATGCTGCCCTGGAGCATAGCGTGTTGGCGTAATGTAAAATAAACCACATGCAGTTCATGTTTTATCAGTCCACACATTGCCTTGCCAGAGAAAGAAAATATGCCATGTAGATGAACAATAAAGAACAAGTAGTTTACTTTTCATAGTTTAGAACAACATATGTACAATGTGATCAGTTGCATCAGCTCACATAATGTCCCTTTATGAGAGATTTTAAATGGTCTTATTCTGTCCATGTGGATAAACTCCTTCAGCAGCTCATGAAGTGAGACCACACTCCAAACTGTCTCTCTGCTTCTCTCTTCTTCTCTCTCTGCACCTGCATAACTCAAGCCTGAACAAAATGTAATGGTGTCCAAAAGTTCCAGGCTCAGCCATCTCCCCAGGCATTGCACGACCAATCAGCATAATGCGTCTTATTTTATATTTGACACACATACACTCACTGATTCCTTGCATGCTCCAACACAGCAGAGTCTCCATCTCTGGATGTTTTTACAGTAACCAGATGGTCATCTGTCAAGAGTACTTTGATTGCATGGCGAGGAGTTGAACTGGATGGTCCTTTGGTCTCTTCCAACTCTACAATTCCCCAGTGACTCTTCTGCCTATACTACATTACTCAGTCCTAAAAATCCAAATACGTTGTTGATGTGATTTGTGAAACTAAAGTGGAGTTGCCCAAAATAGTTAGTCCTCCATATTCAGTGGGGTTAGATGACAATGAAAAATCACAAATGAAGGCATGACTCTGTGATCAAATTCCAATAGAATCACAGAAGAGCAATGACCAATCTCGATAAAATAGTGAAGAGTAGAGACATCACATTAGCAACGAAGATCCGCATAGTTACAACAATGGTATTCCCCGTAGTAACCTACGGATGTGAGAGCTGGACCATAAGGAAGGCTGAGCAAAGGAAGATAGATGCTTTTGAACTGTGGCATTGGAGGAAAATTCTGAGAGTGCCTTGGACCACAAGAAGATCCAACCAGTCCATACTCCAGGAAATAATGCCCGACTGCTCATTGGAGGGAAGGATATTAGAGGCAAAGATGAAATACTTTGGCCACATCATGAGAAGACAGGAAAGTTTAGAGAAGACAATGATGCTGGGGGAAATGGAAGGGAAAAGGAAGAGGGGCCGACCAAGGGCAAGATGGATGGATGGTATCCTTGAAGTGACTGGCTTGACTCTGAAGGAGCTGGGGGTGGTGACGCCTGACAGGGAGCTCTGGCGTGGGCTGGTCCATGAGGTCACAAAGAGATGGAAGTGACTGAATGATTAAACAACATCATCAAATAATAACAACGCTTTATTTATATTCCACCCCCTCTCTCCTTAGGAACTTGGGGTGGCTTACAACTTCCTATACTATTGCCATAGCATTACACTGGTAGCTCAAACAAAACACAGTGAAGAGAGAGTTAAGTGTCACTGATATGATTTTCTTGATCCTAATGATTCTAACTTTTGCTTGTTTTATTGTTTAGTATTGGTTTTAATTTTAGTTCCTATGAATGCATATTTGTGACTTCTCGAGCTGCCCCGAATTTCACAGAAATGCAGAATAGTTATTTTTTTTAAAAAAAACTCATGCTCAAATATGTTAATACTGGAGATGAGATGCTTACATATCATTTTATTTAGCATGTTGCAGGCTGTGCAGGAGCACCAAACTTTCCAGCTTCCTCTCTTTCAAACAAGAAACAGCTGTTTTCCCACAGCAGTATTCCTGCTTCCTGCAGCTAAGCCACTCTTGTGCATTACATGAAAATGGAATTCTTCACTGCTGTATTAAATGTTCAATTTGCACCAAGCCTCAGCCGTATCATATGTTCTTAATGTTGCATCAAGAAAACAAGATTTAGAAATGTGTAAAGGTCACTGAGCATGTGCACAGCTTATCTCTTTCACCCCTTGCGAACCACCAGATCTCTCTCACACATCAAGAAGTTCAGAAAGAAAGCTTTCCAGATTCAAGGGGAATGTTGAGAGACAGAATTAAGCACCGGCATTCTTTCTATAGCTTTTCTAGAATATAAGCACTGTTTGTATTGGATTCGGGTTGGTAAAGGTATAGTACAGTATAAGTATAGAGCATAGTATAGTATAGTATGGTATATTATAGTATGTTTTATGTGTCAGTAGAGTTTCTAAAACTTTTTCTACCTGTGACCCCTTTCTGCATGAGAAATACATTTTACATATACAATATGTATACAATTTATTTACTGCGCTTATTTTACAACTCAAACATGTACTGATAATAAACAATAAAGACATTTTTAAACAATAGTAAACATATCATTTTACCTTTTATTAAAGGCTAAAACAAATTTGCATACTAATAAGATCGATGTGCTTTGTTTATTTTTACATTAAGGATCAAATCTTGGCAGAATATTTGATATTGCAAAACATAGAGCATCTTCAATGTTTTTCATTGACAAGACTGCGTTCAGGCACCACGAGATGCAAAGCCAATCTTAAGAAATGAGGCCACAAAGTGGAGTCCACAACATGGGAGGGTGGAGAACAGCAAACCACAAACCACCTATTACAATGCGACCTGAGCCCTGCCACATTCACAATGGAGGACCTCCTTATAGCAACACCAGAGACACTCCAAGTGGGCAGCTACTGGTCAAAGGACATTTAATATAATGCCAAGTTTTTAAACTCTTGTGTTTTTTTAAAAAATACATTACAACTGTACCCTCGGGTCACTTCTAATACAATAAATAAATAAATAAATAAATGTTTTTCAGAGTTGATCACCATTTTGATTTAATAATTGTCAATGCTGAGAACATGACTTCGCATAAATACACCATACAAAACGGCAGAAGTATGTGAACCATTTCTGAAATTGTTGGAAATTCTGTCCTAATAATTAGCCCAAATTCATCTAATGATTTTTTTAAGGAAACTCACATTTTAAACCTGTGTCACTTAGTAACTAGATAAATTCTTGAAGTTTTAATGGCAGATGACTGAGGTTTTGGATTTCAATGGGGTATGGTCTTACTAATCTAACTTAGCCTTTTTTGGAAGCATTCAGAGAGTGGCACAGTGCAATAGGCAAATATGAAGTGGTTGGAATGACTTCTGGACCACAATTTTGGGTTCTTTGTCTGTTTTAGCAGTTTATTTAATGATATGTTATGGTTTTATGACTGTTTATTGATTTTAATGTATAATATTTATTGTATTTGCTTGTTTATGTGTATTGTGGCATTGAATCATTGCCAATTTGAAAGCCACTCTGAGTCCCCTACAGGGTTGAGATAAGAGTGGGGCAAAAATACAGTCAATAAATCAATCAGTCAATCAAACTTGGGAAGGGAAGTATTTGTTGGAAAGTAGTAGTAGAACTGGGTGTCATCTGCATATAGGTGGCACTGTACTCCAAAACTCTGTACGACCTCTCCCAGCGGTTTCAAGTATATATTAAACAGCATAGGGGACAAAATGGACCCTGAGGAACCCCACAGGTCAATGGCCAGGGGTTTGAACAGGCATCCCCCTGCACCACCTTTTGGGTACAGCCCTCCAGCAAAGACCGGAGCCAATGTAACACAGTGCCTCCCAGTCCTATCCCAGCAAGATGACCCAGTAGGATACAATGGTCAATTTATTTATTTATTTATTTATTTACTGCATTTATTGACCGCCGCTCTCAGCCCTAAGGCGACTCGCGGCGGTGCACAACATATAAAAACAGTTTACAAAAGGGCAAAACAGGAAATCAATACAACAATAATACACTATAATCTAGTTACACTAAATAATCCGCTCCGTCACATCATAGAATCATAACCAATATCGTAATCCGTATTCCGTTCCAGTTGTCAATTACCAGTTGCCGTAGCGCTCAGTTGAATGCCTTCTCAAATAGCCAGGTCTTCAGGCTCTTACGGAAGGACAGAAGGGAGGGCGCCTGTCTGATGTCAGCAGGGAGGTCGTTCCACAGCCGGGGGGCCACCACCGAGAAGGCCCTTTCTCTCGTCCCCGCCAGACGTGCCTGTGAAGCAGGCGGGATCGAGAGAAGGGCCTCCCCAGACGATCTGGTATTGAAAGCCCCTGAGAGATCCAGGAGAACCAATAGGGACCCCCCCCCCCCGTCTAGTTCTAAAAGTTTCACTTTCTAGCATGTTTTTGGTAAACATGGCTACTACAACATTCATATGAACTATATTAACTATTTTGTAATTACCAGCTGCTTTTTGAGTTTTATTGTTGTTTTGTTATGCTGTTGTTTTATTGAGGGCCTTGGCCTTTGTAAGCTGCACCAAGTCCTTCGGGAGATGTTAGTGGGGTACAAATAAAGTTAATAATAATAATAATAATAATAATAATAATAATAATAAGGCAGATGTCACTTGATCATAAATATGGGATAGTATTCTCAAAAAAGCACATGAAAATGTAACATTCATCAAGTATCTGGACACAAAAAAAAATCACACAGAATCCCACGTTTCCTCTGAAATGAGGTTAGACCAAAAAAATGAAATAACTGAACTCCAAGCAAAGGATATTTAACAAACCAATGTCTTTGAATCAACTTGTTAGCCTTCCTCTGAGTAAGCTTGTTCTGAGAAAGGAAATGTTCATATCTCTAGAGGAAATGCTTGACATGTTTCCCTTACAAAAGGATAAGAGATTATGGATAACTCCCAGGATTCAACATATTCTTCACTATACAGTTTAAGGTCTATTTTAAAATAGATGTTAAAACTATGGAAAGAAGTCAAGAGAAACATTCTTGAATGGCAGTTTGATTATTTCTATATATCTAAAAAAAAGACTAATCTATAAAAGCTCTGTTTAAAGAGAAGGGTATACTGTATAGATTATACTATTTGGTTGGAACCAAATGAAAACAAAACATATGCCCATTGGTGATTCCACAATGGGCTGGTAAGGGCAAGAAAAGAATCATTAATGATATTTATACACTGTTTTCCTTGAGTGTTAAAAGATGTCAGTGATACTTATGCCAATTTGTAAATTAGAGAGTATAATTATCCTCAGATTAAAGAATGAAAGTTGATGCTCAAGAGAATGTGGCCTGGCTAATGAGGTCAGGTGAGTCATGCCTGAACTGAGAATTTGAACAAAGGAATTGCCATCTTGGAGCCATGCTCTTAACCTCAAGAACATACCCATTCTGTACAGCAAACAGCAATCCAGTATCAATCCATCAATGGACTGTAGGCATATTCAGTTTTTTCATGGTAATAAGTCACATGGTAGCCATGTTAATCCATTGCTGAAATTATTTTGTATTAATAAATTGTTCAAAAGATTCTTTATGCTTTTTAACCACTAATTTAAAAATAATATTCCAAAGGGGTCTTAATATTTCATTGGAAATTAATTTATTTATTTCGTATCAAAAGTATTGCATAAATTAGTATAAAACTGACAAAATAGAAGGTGTACAGGAGGCTAAATATCCTTTGACCAAAAACGGGCAACAGCAACGGCATTGTCCATAGCCTCCAACAATTCTTCCTCTGTACATGAGGCAGGGCACAATGGACAAGCATACAGATGTAGAGTTGTCTGTTCTGCTCCACAGTCACACAAGGTATGGGATTCTTTTAGGTAGTGCCATTTTGCCAGGTTGTCTTTTGATCTGCCTACTCCGCTTCCGAGTCTATTCAGGGACTCGGGGGGGGGGGGGGCATCCAGTTGGGATTTCCTGATTTAGCTGCCCAGAGGGATACCCTTGCTGTTGCTGGAGGGACGCCAAGAGAAGTGGTAGTTCTCATAAAGTTTTCCCTTGATTTGAGTCTACTGGAGGAGGCTGGTAGCCATGTAGTGGGTGGCTTTCACAGTGTTCAACCTTATTTCTCCTAACATTTAGCAGCAACTTCCCATCGCACATCAGGCGGGGCAATGCTAGCTAGCTTGTAGTGTATCAACAGGTGTAGGGTTAAGACACCCTGTGATTATTCTGAAAATTAATACAACCTGCATGTACCTACTGGTGTTGCTTCAGTAGGGTGAAAACGTAGCTTTGGAATCAAGCCTTTGGCAAATAACACAGTGAAATAGATGGACTTGGGTTTAAGTGTTACCGGAATGGCCTGAATTTGATTGCGGATAACATGATTTTATCGTTGCAACTGCAATGTTTTATATGTTTAATGCTTCTAATTTCATTTAAATTTTAATTGAAAAGTTTATTTAATTGTATATTAGATGTATATTGTTTTTAAGGCATTGAATTATTGCCTTGCCTATAAGCTGCCTTGAGTCCGCCTTGGGATTGAGAAAGGCAGGATATAAATATAGTAAATAAATAAATAAATATTATAAATGTGATTTTATATATCACATACTGAGAAGGTTAAACATGTAGGATGTGGCTAAAGAATGTAAGGATGAGACTTGACTCAAAGATTCTATCACGTTTCACAAAACACAGCGAGCAAAACCATTTTCAATTTGTGAATATTGGCTCAGTCCTTCGGAGCACAGGCCACTTTTCTTGCCTTAGGACTCTTTTCGAGGGGGAGAAATGCCCCTCTAAAGTCTGTTTTTAAAAACTCAATTTTTAAGGTTACACGGGGGAGTAATTCATAAAAATCAGATACATATGTCTAGGCTGCAAAAACTATTTATTTTTGTCAAGAAATACTGCTGACCACAGAGAAGACCTTCAGTGCTATGGTGTCTTATTGATAAACTGGTCTACTAAGGATGGCTTGCATAACATTGCACAGGGGGCCCTTGGTATGCACTTGTTTGGTTCCAGGATCTCGTGTGGACACTAAAATCCATGGGTGCTCAAGTCCCATTACATACAGTGGCATAGTAAAATGATGTCCCTTCCATAAAATGTCAAAATCAAGGTTTGCACTTTTAGTTTTTAAATACATATTTTCAAACTGTGGATTGTTGAATCAGTGGATACCGAATCTGTGGGTACAGGTCAACTGTACCTTGTGGCTTTCCAACTACAGCTATTCATTTGATTTTTTTTCCATTGTCATGGCCTATACTTGTTTGCATTGGTATTATACTGGTTTAGTAGTGACCTGGAACCTGACCTGGCCTTCCACTGGTAGAAATGCTCTGTCTCTGGGAAGAGGGACATTTCCAACCCCCAGCACCCTCACAATTTGCTCCAGTGTGATAGAAAGCATCCTGGAGCAGATTTTCAAATGGTACGAAGAGGTGGAAAGTAAGAAAGTCTCATTGGATTTGGATTATTGTAGGTTTTTTGGGCTGTATGACCATGTTCTAGAAGCATTCTCTCCTGATGTTTCGCTTGCATCTATCGCAGACACCCTCAGAGGTTGTGAGGTCACAATGGATTTATTTTTACAAAAAAAGTCATGAATCCAAATGTGTACACACAATTTCTTGGGAGAAATTTGAGACAACTTTTTGCATATCTTTAATTCAGTTTTCTGTTCTGTATGCATTTAGCCAATCAGGCATAGTCAAATACATTCTACCAA